GCAGCAGCAGCAGCAGCAGCAGATACCGGCGTAGGCATATTCGTCGTCGACGTGGGTCTTCGGGGCGAGGGTTTGGGGGTCGTCGAGGTCGAGGACTTGGGCGAGGCGAGCAGCAGCAGCAGCAGCAGCAGCAGCACGGAGGTTTGTGGGGAGGGGCTTGCCAGTCTCGAGTGTCTCCTTCACTTGCTGCTTCCTCTCCGCCAACTGTCTCTCTTTCTCCTCCAGAGACTTCCGAAACAAATACTCCTTCCGCAGCCGCGCAGTGCGCCGCAGCATCTTCAAACCCTAAACCCTAAACCCTAAACCCTAAACCCTAAACCCGAAGCCGCCTTCTGGGCGCGGGCTCCCCCGCGGGGCAGCGGCCCTCTACAGACCGCGATCTTCGCCTTCTTTTGTCCCCTTCTGCCTGCTGCTGCTGCTGCTCGTCCCGCTGCTGCTGCTCTTGCTGCTGCTGCTGCTGCTGCTGCTGCTGCCCTTGCTGCTGCTGCTGCTGCTGCTGGCGTGCGGCGGGAAGCCCCGGAAGAAAGGAAAAAGACAACTGGGGGGCCGGGGGGCTCTTGGCGAGTGCTGCTGCTGCTGCTGCTGCTGCTGCAGCTGCTGCAGCGGGAAAAGAGACCTTAGGGGGCTTTTTTTGCGTCAAATAAACAAACAAAATGGAATAAAATAAAACAAAATAAATAAAACTTGAAAGAAACGAAAAAGAAGACGAAGAAGCCGCGCAGCAGCCTGAAGGTGCCCCCACAGCGAGCGGGACCGACTGCGTGTACACCCCAGCTGCGGGCTGCTGCTGCAGCAGCTCTTTAGAGTTTTATTTTCTTTTAAAATGTATTTTTATTTATTTAATTTATTTATTTTAAACAAAATCCCAAAAAGTTTGGTCCTGAGCAGCAGGCGGGGCGGGGCCCGCAGCATCGACGGCCGCCGGGGGGTGAGTGAGCGCCGCCACCAGCCCAGCGAGGGTTTAGGGTTTAGGGTTTAGGGTTTAGGGTTTAGGGTTTAGGGTTTGCGGCCCACGCCCAAGACTTTCCTCTCGAGCCTCCTCAGCCACTTCTTCTACTTCGCCTCCCAGCCTTCCTTTCAGCAGATGCTGCTGCGGAGCACTGCAGCTCCAACTCAGGGTCTAGCGTTTAGGGCTTAGGGTTTAGGGTTTAGGGTTTAGGGTTAAGGGTTTCACTTGCCCGACCTTCTCCGCAGCAGACGCCCTCTTGACCTTCCTGTCTGTGTTTATTGCTGCCTTCAACAGTCCTACGCCTACGCAGCTGCTGCTTAGGACTCAGCAGCAGCAGCAGCAGCAGCGGCAGCAGCGGCAGCAGCAGCAGCGGAGGCGGCAGCAGCCGCAGCAGCAGCAGCAGCAACAAGGCCAGCAACAGCAGCAGCAATAGCAACTGCGACCGTAGACAGCAGCAGCAACGGCCCCGCAGCTCCGCTGCAAGAGGCGCTGCAGCGGGCCATAAACAGCAACTCAAACAGCAGCAGCAGCAGCAGCAGCAGCACGACAGCAGCAGAAGTATGAGAGGCCGCAGCAGCAACTTGCAGCATGAAGCCTACAGAGGAGGTGTTGGGGCCCCGCAGCAGCTGCTGCTGGGGGCCCCCTGAGGGGCCCCCCAGGGCGCAGCAGCAAGCTACCGGGGCTTTGGGGTGTACGTACACCGCAAGGGCCCGCGTAGCACTTCAGCAGCAGCAGCAACAGCAGCAGCAGCAGCAGCAGCAGCAGCAGCTGACCAGTGGTCACCCCGGGGTGGCTGGAGGACCTCTGCAGCGCAGCAAGGAGCAGCAGAAGCAGCAGCGGGAGGCATTGCTGCAGGGACACGGAGGTGGTTTGCTGCAGGAGCTGCTGCAGGAGCTGCAGCAGCAGCAGAAGCAGAATAAGCGGCGGCGGCAGCGGCGGCATCAAGTGGCGCAGCTGCTGCTGCTGCTGCTAGCGGCGTGGTGCTGCATGTTTGCTGCTGCTGCTGCTGCTGCTGCTGGCGAGGGCGCAGCAGCAAGACGCAGGTGGAGGGGCCCCCGGCTGCAGCTCGAAGGCCTCTTCGGAGAGACAGACAAAAAGGAGACACCGGCTGCAGCAGCTGCTGCAGCAGCTGCTGCAGCAGGTGGAGTGCAGCAGGAAAAAGGCTGTCTCTGCAGCGAATGTAATGAGAACAAAGAAAACAAGGAAAAAGAAGCAGACGCAAAAGGCAAGCAACAAAGCTGCTGCTGCAGCTGCTGCAGCTGCTGCTGCTGCAGCTGCTGGGGATAGTCTTGCTGCTGTTGGTGCTGTGGCTTCTGTTCGTGCTGCTGCTGCTGCTGCTGCTGCTGGGCTTGAGAGAGGCTGCTGCTTTGCATGCGGTTGAAGCTTCTGCTGCTGGTGTCGTTGCTGCTGACTTTACTGTCGCCCGCGGCCAGCGGAGTTGCTGCTGCAGTTGCTGCTGCAGCTGCAACTGCTGCTAGAGTTGTTGCTGCAGTTGCTGCTGCAGTTGCTGCTGCTGTTGCTGCTGCAGTTGCTGCTGCTGTTGCTGCTGCAGTTGCTGCTGCTGCGGGCGCTTCTCAGTTATTAATTTGATTGGTTAACTAAATAAAATAAATTAAATTAATTTGATTTGATTCAGTTTGATTGAATTTGTCTCCTTTCAGACTCGAGGCGAGCTGGGACTTCCTGTCCCCTCGGTGTTGCTGCTGCTGCTGCTGAAGTGAAGGACGTGCTGCGCAAAGTCGCAGAGACGCTGCAGCAGCTGCAGCAGACAACTGCTGCTGTTGCTGCTGCTGCTGCTGCTGCGGATGGCAGCGTGCAGCAGCAGCTGCAGCAAGTAGCGGCTGCTGCTGCTCAGCAACTGCAGCACTGGCCAGCTGCTGCTGCCCTTGCCGACCAGCAGCAGCAGCAGCAGCAGCAAGGGGATTCATCAGTGGCCGCTGGACAGGCAGTTCCAGGTAAACATGTAAAGAGGCACTGCAGCAAAGGAGACAAATGGAGACACTCGTGTCCCTTCTGTTTGCTGCTGCTGTCTCTTTAATAACCCCGCGAAAGGAGGCTGCTGCAGCATTTAGTTTAATTTCATTTAATGCTTTTGCTGCAGCTCAATTTGTCTTTTTTTACAGCACTTCGAGGTGTACGTACACCTCAACTGTCTCCTTTTTCTGTCTCCTTTTGCTTGCAGACACCCAAAGGGACACTTCTGCGTCTCCGGGGGCCCCGGGGGCCCCCGGGGCCCCAGGAGGGGCCCTTGGGGCCCCCGGGGCCCTTGGGGCCCCCGAGGAAGGGTCCTCCTCAGGGGGGGGCCCCGGGGACCCAGAGGCCCCGGGGGCCCAAGGGAATGAGGGGGTCCCCGTGGCCCCAGGAACTGAGGGGGCCCCCGTGGCCCCAAGGGGGGCCCCAGGGGCCCCAGGGACTGTGGGGGCCCCCGTGGTCCCAGGAACTGAGGGGGCCCCCGTGGCCTCAGGGACTGAGGGGGCCCCCGTGGTCCCAGGAGCTGAGGGGCCCCCCGGGGTCCCTGGGACTGAGGGGGCCCCCGGGGCCCCTGGGACTGTGGGGGCCCCCGGGGCCCCCGTGGGGGGGCCCCCAGGTGGAGCAGTTGCTGAGTTGTCGTTGCTGAAGTCTGAGCTTGAGGGGGCCCTTTTGAGTTTGAGTGGAGAGCTGCGGAGAGTGGGGGTCCTTGCAGAAGCTGGGAGGGGCCCCTTCTTGGGGCCCCCGGGTCCTGCTGCAGGAGCAGCAGCAGCAGCAGCAGCAGCAGCA